GAATAGAACACTGCATGGTCTTTCTTCTAAGCATGTAGATATTATCCTATCATAGATAGCATTATACTTCAAGACAGATCTTTAAATGCTCTTTTTGATGTTGAAGATGATGCTATTCCTGTTTAATATGTTATTCTCAGCAGAGTAAACTATATGAGTATGCAATTCAAAATGGTCAATACCAACCCATTTCAGCTCATTAATCGCTAGGATCCAGTCCTGGTGTGGCTCATGTAGGATAAGCAATCAACTTCAAGTTGGTGTGAACACAAGATTAGCAGTTCAAACTCACTACCTGCTCTTCGGAAGCCCTATACAGGGTTGCTATGAGTTGAAATCAGCTCGTTGGCACTTAACAACAACAACGATGGCTAGGGTATTGATCTTCATGTGTCCCATTTCATTTTTTACAACTTCCAAGTTTCCTAGATTTGTAGTTCATACATTCCACATCCCAATTATTGATGAATGTTTGCAGCTCTTTCTTCTCATTTTGAATTGTGTGTGCCTCATCAACAAATGAAGATCCCAAAGCTTTGCTCCATCCAAGCTATTAAGGTCAATTGTACTTTGGGGAGGCATCTCTTCCCTAGTTGTATTTTGCGTGATTTCCAATCTGAGGGGCTCATCTTCTGGCACTGCATCCAGCATCCAGCAAAGTTCCTCTGCTAACCTTTCAGAAACAGTCCACTTAACCGTCCTAGTTTGTCTTAGTCTGAAAGCTCTGCTGACACCTTTCCATTTAAAATGTCATTGGCATAGCTTCCAGCTTCATACCAACACACAAACCACCACAGTATGACAAAATGAAAGACAGACATAGATTACCAATTTATTCTGAAGAAAATGAAGTGTACTTCACATGAAAACTGCTACAGGATTATCACTATGCTTTTCTTTGCACCATTGGGCTGAATCCTGGTTAAAGATGATTTCCAACAAGCCAAAATGGTACATCTTGTTCCACATTACACCCCTATTCCCTTCTGGAAAGTGATCAGAGCTGGTACAGAGCCAGCCCTATAATGGCATAATATGTCCTTTTCTAGGTGTGTTGGCATTGTGTATGTGTGTGTTTTTGTGTAATGTACCTTTGTTGGGTGGAACTTCAGGTTCTCTTCAGCCACTTGCTTCACTTATTTCTCCATTTTATAAGATTTTAGAGAAATTTCAAGGCTGTCTCAAGCAAAACAAGGTAGGCAGAAGAGAGGCACAGTTTTAAGACTGTGGCAATACCCACCATTTTGAATGGACTGCCAAGTTCCATTTTTTTTCAGGTTTGAAGTCATTCCTCAATTATGGTAGAGCTGTAGGACTTCTGACTATCCAAATATGTCAGTGGTGGTCATGGTGGTGGTGTGCCATGGAATCGGTTCTAACTTATAGAGATCCTGCATAGGGTTTCTAAGGCTGTAAATCTTTATGGGAACAGAAAGCCACATCTTTCTTCCATAGAATGGCTGGTAGTTTTGGACTGCTGACCTTAAGGTGAGCAGCCCAACTCATAACCACTACAATACCAAAGCCCCTTGTATGTATAGTAGTAGTAGTTTTTGTTGTTGTTAAGTACTGTGGAGTTGGTTCCGACTCACAGTGACCCTGCACAGGGTTTCCAAGGCTATAAATCTTTACGGGAGCAGAATACCTCATCTTTCTCCCGCAGAACCGCTGGTAGTTTCGAACTGCTGACCTTGAGGTTGGCAGCCCAACTCATAACCACTATGTTACCACAGTTCATTATGTATAGTAGCAGCGTTTAGTAAAGAGGATGGACTTTAAAATCATGTAGATTTGGGATGTGGGATGCTGTTAAATCTCTCTGAATCTTAGTTTTACTGTTTTATGCTAAGTTGTTGAGAGAAATAAAGATGATGGCTGTATGAGGAGACTTTAAAACATTTGTGGAAAATTTTCATGATCATTTAGTTCCATTTTTCCATGAATATTTTTGAAGCCTTCTTATACAGTTATCATTTCTATTTCTCTCTCCTAGGACTGCTGTAACAAAGTACTGCAAACAGGGTGCCTTAAAACAGAAATTTATTCTCTCCCAGTTCTAGAGACTAGAAATCTGTGTTCAGGGTATTGGCAGCACTATGCTCTCTCTGAAGATGCTAGCGGAAGATCCCTCTTTGCCTCTTCTAGTTTCTGGTAGTTTCAGGTGTTCCTTGTTTTATGACGGCATGACTCTAATACTAGTCTTCATCTTTACATGGTGTGTCTCTCTCTGTATCTCTTCTTTGTCTTCATTTTTTCCCCCATAAGAATAAGATCCCTGGTATGGTGCTGTAGAATAAACACTGAACTAGTAAACACAAGATTGGCAGTTTAAATCTGCTCTCTGAAACCCTCTACAGGGTTGCTATGAGTGAACTCACTGAATGACACAAAACTACAGTGATATTGGATTGTTGTTGCTGTTAAGTGCTGTCGAGTCGGTTCTGATTCATAGCAACCCTGAACAGGGTTTTTGAGGCTGTAAATCTTTACGAGAGAAGAACGCCTCATCTTTCTCCCACAGAGCAGCTGGTAGTTTCGAACTGCATACCTTGCAGTTCGCAGCCCAATTCATAACCACTACACTACCAGAGCTTTATTCCAGTATGACTGTCTGTTAACTTTAATTGTACCTGCAAAGATCCTTGCAGTCACAGGTACCAGAGATTAAGACTTGAATGTATTTGGGGTTGGGGGTACACAATTCAACCTATTACCATACCTGAAAAGCAACTAATGAATTGTCTCACTTGTAGTAGCATTTTAAGAATCAGTAGGTTGAGGATAATGGTATACAGGATTTAAGAGTAAAATTCCAAACCTCTTTCCTTTAATTCAAGGGTCCATGTCATCAGTCCTAGGTCAAGCCATGTCATTATTTAAACACGTACAGCTCTTTCAAGTTCTTTGCTATTTGTTGTTTTAACATTGTGTGTGATATATATTGTAAATCTACTAAATGAATGTGAATCATGCCCTGAGATGTTTATGATATCAGTGAATTTTATTATCTTCTCCATTTATTTTCTGAACACAAATTTCCAGCAATTGCACCAAACTAAGTATTTTTGCACCATGTTTCTGGTATAAAATATATTTCTACATATGCTGTTTAACATCTTCGTATGGGTCCTACCGTGGTGCTGTAGGATACGCACTGGACTTCTAACTGCAAGATTGGTGGTTTAAATCCACCAGCCTCTCCTCAGAAATCCTAAACAGGATGGCTATGATTCAGAACTTACTCAACGACACTTAACAACAACAGTAGCATGGGTCTATGTAACTATACTCAGATTCATATTGTTATTCAGGAAAGAAACTTGTATTCTAAAAGAATACATGATTTATGGACTACATAAGAATCTATTTTGGCTCTTGTTAGGAGAATATGAATCATTTTCTTCATGTCATGTAATCTACTCAACTGAGAAATCATTCTCATATTTTGTTTTCCTTAAGCATGTAGGGGTTTGAAAGAAGCAACAATGAAAGCCTAATCATATATACTAATTTAGCACAAGAAATGAGCATATATGTAAGTCAAACAGTATTACTACTTCATAAATGCATTGATTTATTCCAAACTAAATGTGTTTAAACATACATCTCTTTCACAATGTGATCAGTGGGTGGCTGCCAACAAATTCAGTAATACACGTGTTGTAGTCAAATTGTTGTTAAGTGACATCAAGTTGGTTCCGACCCATACTGATCCTGTATGGGGTTTCCGAGGAGCAGCTGGTGAGCTTGAACTGCCGACCTTGCAGTTCAAATGGCTTTGTAATCTGGCGCATTAACCCACAGTGCCACACCAGGACTCTAGTCAAGTTGGCGTTCATTAAAAAAAAAGATACTTGTTGCCATGGGGAAAAAACAACATGATTTTGAGGTTTGGACATCTTTCCAAATAGTTTTTGCAATACATTTATGAGGATGTTGTCTCATCTAAATCAAGTTTTTAGATGGATCAAGCATTTTAAGGAAGGTTGGGAAGACCTCAGATATTAGCTAAGAGTGAAAAGACCAACAACCTTAATGAATGAAGAAACTATGGCTGAAGTCCAGCAACTGGTGGAAGAAAACCATATTCAATATTAAGTGAACATCTTGGATTTGGCAAGTTTTTGACTGTATGAGTGCCTTGATGGGTGCCCAAATCATGATGATCAGCTAGCTCAAAGAGCTGGTGTTTCCATCAAAGCAAGATTAAAGCTAATGAAGATGATTTTATAGACATAATAATAATGGGGGAAGTCTTGGATTTATCAAAACAAAGGGCAAGATTCAATCAAAACAGTAGCTTCTGAGGAGATCTGCTGAGCCAGTTAAATTTAAGGCAAAGAGGCTGGCTCAAAAGGTTATGGTGACTTTTGGGGGGACTCCAAAGGGAACATCTTGACAGATTTTCTCGAAGGACACAGAATGAGCATGGGGGCTTGTTATGAAGAAGTTTTAAGAAAACTGAAAACTGAATCAGTGAGAAGAAGGCTAGAAAATTGCACTGAGGAATTTTTTCCCCATCACAGTAATGTACCTGCTCCTTCATCAAAGGTAGCAAGGGTTATTCTATGAGAATTTTGTTGGGAAACATTACCTCATCCACCCTTCAAACTTCTTTTTGTTCCCAAAATTCAATGAACATTTCAAAGGAACACATTCCAGTCCCTTGAGGATGCCCAAACTGTGGTTTTGACCTCATGCAACTCGAAGAGCACAGAATTCTTTGGGAAAAGTTTAGAGAGATGGAATCATTACCTTCAAAAGTGTATAAACTTAGATGAAGAATATGCCAATTAAACAATAGCTTCACATTTTGATATTTTTGTTTAATAAAAGTTTCTATAGTTTTGCAGCAATCCTTTTTTTTTTTTAACTTACCCTCATATCAAAAGAAATTGAAGTAATAAGTTTTGAAAGGTTGAAGAAATATTTCTTATTTTTTTACTCACTTAATTCTGAATATTTGAAATCTGATTTTGCTTTGTTAATTCTTTACCTAGGTGACTTGCTGGTTTCAGAAAACCCTAAGAGATTTACAAGAACAACATCTAGGTTCATCACTGTCAGACAATGAGGAGCTAATTCGTAGGCACGAGGAATTGACGATAAAAGCAAAGGTAAGAGACATATTCCAAACCAAAAACCAAAACTCAGCTGTCATCAAGGTGATTCTGACTCATAGCAATTCAATACAGGACAGAGTAGAACGGCTCCTTAAGATATACTTTGTTTCTTTGGTTAAGTGCCGTCGAGTTGGTTCTGACTCATAATGACCCTGTACAGGGTATCCTAGGTTGTATATCTTTGTGGGAGTCCTGGTGTAGTTGATAAGCACTGTAGTTGATAAGCACTGGACAGCAAGGTCGGTTTGAACCGCAAGGTTGGCAATTCAAACTCACTAGCCATTCCTTGGAAACCCTTTGAAACTGACTCGATTACATTTAACAGCAATAATATCTTTGCGAGAGCAAAAATCTTCATCTTCCTCCCATGGAGTAGCTGGTGGGCTTGAACTGCTGACCTTGTGGTTCGCAGTCCAGTGCTTATCTTACAGAACCATCATGATCTGTAAGAGACACATTAAACACATTTAAAAACGTGGCCAGGTGGGCAGTTAGGCAGTGCCTCAGCCTCCTTTCTCCACTGCCCTCACACTCCTGGTGTGCCTCCTAGTCTTGGCTCAGGTGGCTGCAGTTGGTCAGCTTGTTGAACAGCGACACCATGAGGTTGCTGTCCATCTCCTCCTCAGAAAGGAACCATAATCATTACTTCAAAAAAGCTTTCTCTCTCCATCTCAACGTTATAAGAAAAGGACTGTTTTCTCTTGGATTTTCATCTTCCCTGCTCCGGTGGTCCTTAGCGAGGGGCGTCTTCCACAGCATCTCCACAAGTACCAGGGGGCAGGCTGGCTCCTAGGCATCTCTGTTTGCAACCCAACCCACTTCCTAGTACAGTTTGATGTTCCTACTTACATATCTCTAGTCCACTGATTCGTTTTCTATAACAAATCGCTACATATTTAGTGACTTTAAACGACACCAAGTTATTATTATTTGACGGTTTGAACGTCAGAAGTCTGAAAGTACCATCGGGATAAATTCAAGTGGATTGGTTCTTTCTGAAAGCTCTGGGGGAAAATCAATAGATTGATCTTTCCTAGTTTCTAGAGGCTTCCTGCATTTCTTGTCTTAATGGCACTGTTTCCATCTTTCTATCTTGTTGTTGTTAAGTGCCCTCTAGTTGTTTCTGACCCATAGTGACCCTGTGTAGGGTTTCTAAGGAGCAGCTGGTGAGCTTGAACCGCCAACCTTGCAGTTCAAACTGACTTGGCAGTCTGGCGCATTAACCCACAGTACCACACCAGGACTCCATCTTTCTATCTAGCAGTATAGTGTTTTCCCTTGTGTCTTTCTCTCATTTCTTTCTCTCTGCCTCTGTTGTTACATCACCTTCTTTTACTTTGGCCTCCTAACTCCTTAGAAGGGCCTTTGTGATTGCATTGGACAAGGGTAATCCACCACCTCAAGATTCTGAAAGTACCCACATAGGCACAGCTACAGATCTAAAGATTAGGATGGGGAGGAAGTCTTATTCTGTTTAACCCACATCCTGGAGCTCTGGTTGCTTATTGGTCGGGCTGCTAACCTCAAGGTTAGCAGCTCAAAACTACCAGCCATTCCATGGGAGAAAGATGAGGCTTTCTGCTCCCGTAAAGATTTACAGCCTTAAAGACTTTATACAGGGTCGCAATGAGTAGGAACCAACTTCAGGACACACAATCACGATCGGCCTACTTAAAATAATTTCTCAGTTTTACAAGGAGTAATGGCCTACATGTGTAGGTGTGTGGAAGGTACAAAAAAAATAGACCCATGAAGTGTTGAAAGCCATTGGAGCAAAGTAGCCATGTTTCAGTTGCTTTTTCCCATTTTTCCTATAAGTGGGGTCCATAAATACCAATGCGAGTTTTAGTAGATGTTCCATATTGCCGGCCAAGTGAGAAAAATGTCCACTGCCAGTAGATTGATGGGGAACAGTGAATAATCAATATCAAGTCCTCTAGGATTTTTATTACTAATATCTTGTGTGGGTGATAGTTTAAGGTGGTGATAAATCACGAAGCTTTGGAAAACAGTGGGCCAAACATTACTAATCAGTGGTTGAAAATAGAGAAGACAAATCATGAATTTTCAAGTTTGTGGAAATGGGAATTAGGAAAGGCATTTAAGACTACTATCTCCTTTTATAGATTATGCTGTTTTGTTTTGTTTTTAGTATCTTCCCTTTGAACACAGCAGCTTGTAGTGGGAGTGCAAAGGGTTTGTTGTTGTGAAGTGCCGTCAAGTCGGTTCTGACTCATAGCCACCCTGTCTAAGATTTCCGTGGAGCAACCTGTGAGCTTGAACAGCCGACCTTGCAGTTCAGCACATTATCTCACAGCAGCACATCAGGACTCAAAGAGCTGAATATTCAACTGACTGAAAACAGGTGCAGCTAACCCATTCCTGGTGTGGTGCTGTGGGTTAATGCGCCAGACTGTAAAGCCATTTGAACTGCAAGGTTGGCAGTTCAAACTCACCAGCTGCTCCTTGGAAACCCTATCCAGGGCTGCTATGGGTTGGAAACGACTCGATGGCACTTAACAACAACAACCCAGTCAAGACTAATTATCTTAAAACTTTTTAATTTCAGTATTTGACTTTTCTGTTTAGGAAGTTGAAATTTTTTTCATTTGTTTGTTTTTGTGCTAACTTGAAGTTTTGTCAGAAAGAATGATGTCAATGTTTTCAAATGCTTAGCTCAAGAGATGACCGGAATGCTGTAGGATGTTTACTTCCTTTAAGACAAACAAACATTAATGGCATAGTTGTGTAAGGTAGACATTTCTTGGGACTACAGTCATTGTAAGTGTGGAGTTACTGTGGTTTCTCATGTCCTGAAGACAACTTGGAGTAGAATACTTATTGTTGTGTGATCCCTGCACTAATAGGACCCAGTTTCTATCATAGTTTACAGTTCACAATGGACCCTTCATGAACATAAACAAAAAAACCTAAATACATTGTTTGTATCATTTTTACCTAAATTGTAAACATAAGGAGCATAAGAAATAAATTCTTAATAATATATACTTTATCATGTCATATTCTTTATAAAAAATTTCAAAACCTCAAATAATTTCTCAGTTTTGCAAGATGTAGTAATGACTGACAACTGACCAACCGCTTCTCCTTGTACGAAATGTGCAAACAAAACTAATAGGGCAATGTGGTTGGTGGTGGTTGGTGGTTATGTGCCCGTGGAGTTGGTTCCGACTCATAGCAACCCTGTACAGGGTTTCCCAGGCTGTAAACCTTTACCAGAGCAGAAAGCCTCATCTTTCTCCTGCAGAACAGCTGGTAGTTTCGAACTGCTTACCCTGAGGTTAGCAGCCCGATTCGTAACCAATACGCTACCAGAGCTCCTTAAATAGGAGGATGTTGCTGTTGTTGTTGTTGTGAAGTGCCGTCGAGTTGGTTCCGACCCATAGCGACCCTGAGCTTGAACTGCCGACCTTGCAGTTCAAACGACTTTGCAGTCTGATGCATTAACCCACAGCACCACACCAGGACTCCACAACAGCACAACGCTGTTGTTGTTGTTAAGTGCCGTCCCTTAATTCTTCAACATGATGATAATCATTATTCATATTTTTGTACATTTCCTTTCAGTCTTTCTATACACCAGCATAGAAACACACAGCACTAGAGTCAAGCTTTTTGCCCCCACTCTCCTTAAGAGAAAATCGGTGTAACTAAATGTAGTTTAGCTCCAAAGTCCTCCTTTAAGTGGGTGAATTCAAATTCCAAGGTTCTCCTTTACATGGATGAATCCAAATTGCAGAAATACACATTTTCATTACATGTAGACACTAAACTATGTGGGAACCAAGTAAATACTGTTGTTGTTGTTTTTAAATGTAGGCATTCTTGGTAAACATAATTAAGCTCCCGCCCAGCTAGCTGATCTGCTTTCTTTCAGGGTCCTGAACTACTCAGGAACCAGTTACAGTTCTACTCCCGAAAAGATTTACACCCTCGAAAACCCTGTACAGGGTCGCTATGGGTCGGAACCGACTCGATGGCACTTAACAACAACAACAACACATACATATTTTAAACAGAGACAGGGCCACCTATTTCTCTTTAGCATCCTGGTGAATAAAAAGAAATTAAGAATAAAAAAGCATTGTTTGCTGTGGCAAAGATTACTGTTTTTCACATTCTTCTAAAGTCTTCTTTGTGGTGTGAGATCTTCCTTCCAAGCTATGAATTTGCCCATTGGGCCCTCAATCTCAGTACCATCGTGAGAGATGTCCAAAGTACTTAACAGTTTTTTAAATTACATTAACTAACTGGAGATGAAAACTAAAACATAACTTGTTGATAAAAAGCATTTTTTAACTATTTGCTATCAATTTGGAAGACTAGACTATCCAGTGACAAGATATGTGGTACTAGAGGAAGAGGGGTCCTTGCATCTTATGGGTTGAGAGAGATCCTACTAGAGTAAATGCAGAAGAGGGAGTGGCACTCTATTCTATTCTGGGGTGATCCAGGACCCTTCAAAAAGGGATGGAGTTGGATGGATAGCTGGAATGTGCATATATGATTATCAGGGGATGAGTATTGATTGTTTTTAATTTCTATAAATGGCATTAAGTTGTAGATCTCATTGTGTTCCTTCCCACAACACTGTTTGCATTTAGTTTACAATGTCTTTATGTTCTTTATTATGGTAATTCCTAGATACAGTATAACTTTTGAAAGTTACATAGATGTTGATGTTCTACTTCTATGCTTCATAACTTTAATTGATGCTCATTTCTTTATTTCTTCCTGATACCCAATCTGCTAATATACTTGATTTGTTCTTGAACTCCTACCATCTGCTACTGAGTTCCTCACTTACACTATTAACATTTTTCATGCGCAGTCCTTCACCTTGATTCTTTTCCACAGCTGCTTATTCCTGTTCCATCTATGTTTTTCTTTATATTTTAAAGTATACTTTTTCATATATTAAATTTTTGGTCTGTTTAATGCATTAATTCTGCTTCATTTGACTTAATTATTTC